CAGATATACAGAGAGGAGGAGAGACAGAGAGGAAGATCTTCCGTCCAATGATTCATTCCCCAAGTGAGTGCAATGGCCGATGCTAGGCCCGAGTTAATTATTTTTCAAGATTTCTTCTGAGAGGCTGGCACTGTGGTATAACATGGAAAGTGCTGCCAGCAATGCCAGTGTCCCATGTGGCTGTTGAACAGAGTCCTGTGTGCTCCACTTCTCAGTCAGCTCCCTGCCCTTGTGCCTGGAAGAGCAGCAGAAGCTGGCCTGAGTGCTGGGACCCTGCAGCCATCTGGGAGAAGGAGGAAGCTGGTGGATCCTGCTTAAGCCTCTCCCTTCCCTGGTTTTGTGAGTGAACCAGTAGGCGTGAGATCTCTAACTGCCTCTTCCTTCTCTATATTCCAATAAAAAATAAATAAATAAAAGGAGCTTCTCATGGCATGCAGTATCCTTGTGTCTTCTCAATTTCTGCCTTCCCAGTGGCCACCGCTCCCAATACCTGAGCTGACCTTAGCCTTGGCTCCCTGTTTCACACTCAGTGTCTTTCTGAGAGCCCCTGAGTGTCCACCTGCAGCCATAGTGGGCTGCACCGTGTAAGAGCTCCCGGTGTCTGTCATCAGCAGGAAGCCACTCAGCCTGCAGGCCAAGCTCTGCTGCACCTTCACCTTCTGGGTCAGGATTCCCTGCTTTGGTCATGTTGACTTACAGACTGGGGACTGCGTTGTCTCAGCCACTCTCCCAGGCTGTCTGAACTGCCAGTGAGTGTGGGTGATCTGTGTGAGCAGACACTGGTTAGTCACAGGCTCAGGTGTCGCCACGGGAGGAAGGGAAAAGAAAGATGCACGTGATTCTGCTACAACTCTGCTTCTCATTGCAAGTTATTTGAGAGAAGAGTGACAGAAAGACAAAGAAAGTCAGATAGCAACAGGGTGAGATGTGTGTGTGTGGGGGGGTGGTTTTGTGTGTGTGTGTGCGTATGTTAGAATGAGAGAGAGAGAGTGAGAGAGAGAGAGAATGCTCTTCCATCTACTGTTCACTCCCCAAATGGATATAAAAGCTGGGCCGAGTCCAAACTGAATCCAGGAACTCAGAACTCCAACCAGGTCTCCCACAGAGCTGTCAGGAGCATGAGCACTTGGGCCGTCTTCTGCTGCTTTCCCAGGCACTGCAGCAAGGAGCTGGATCAGAAGCAGAGCAGCCAGAATGTGAGCCAGCTCTCTGCTCTGGGATGTTGGCTTCACATGCAGGAGCTCAACCAGCTGCACCAAACCTCCTTCTCCTGGGACAGGTTCCCATCTCTTACAAAACCTTTGCTGCTTTCAGATCACAATTAGCTGTGCCTCACATCCTGCTATGTCCTAATTTTCAAGGAGCTGTGCTGATGTCTGAAAACCTTTTTCTCTCCTTTGTCCTCAGACTTGTCCTCATTATGCTGACTTGGTACTGTTGACCAGGATCAACAGTGAAGGGAGTGAAGCAAAGAGCAGCTGCTGAGTGAATCTTAGCATGGCCCTCACGTGTCAGCTCAGTCACAATTCCAGGGGAGTAAATCCCTTTGGACTCTTCTGGCATCAGGAAGTGGTGCCTGTGATGACAACTCCTGACCCTGTGGCTGCCTGAGAGCTGGGGGCGTGGGTGGGGCTGATAGGTGGGTCAGTAAATAACCCTCATGCTCTCAGCCAATGTACAAACTCATTTGTTTTATCAAGTATTTCTCCGTTGTTTAGGTTTATTGGATTAAAATATCTGAAAAATCTGATTCTGAGAGTTTTTCCCCCTTAATAGTTGCTTCATTTTAAAGTTTCATTTTTATCCTAAACAAATTAATCTTCTATCACTGAAAAGTCACAGAGAGAGAGAGAGAGAGAGAGAGAGAGAGAGAGAGAGAGAGAGAGAGAGAGAGGTGGGTGGGGGGGGTTTGAGGGAGAAAGGAGAAAGACAGAGATAGGCAAATGGGGAGAGATCCTCTATCTGCTGGTTCACTCCCCACATGCAGTAGCCAGCGCTGGACCTCTCTGAATTCTGAGTCCAACTCTCCATCTTGGTCTCCCCTGTGGGTGGCCCAGTGCTTGAAGGACCATGTGCTGCTCCAGGGTGTGCGTTAGCAGGACACTGGACTGGATGCTGAGCACTGCACTGCAATGTGGGATGCAGCTTTAACAGTGCTGACTTAATTGTTGTGTTTTTGTGCAATAGCTGTTCCTTCTTTTATTTTGGATTAACACATAGAATTTGTTAGTATATGTTATTTTCATGATAATTTTCTTTGTTTCTTTTACTGTCTCTCTCTCTCTCTTCCTTCTTCCCCCCCCCCCACCCCCATCTTCCTTCTTTCTTGCTTTATTTCAGAAGGTCAGAGTTACTGAGAGAGCAGGACACAAAGATCTTCCATCCACTGTTTCACTCCATAAATGGCTGCAACAGCCAGGGCTGGGCCAGGCTAAGCCAGGAGCCTAAGATATGTCCTGAGTGAATGACACAATACTTGAGCCATCTTCTGGTGCTTCCCCAGGCCATGAGCAGGGAGCTTGATTGAAGTGGAGCTGTCAGACTTTAGGATCTGAATCAGTGCCCAAAAGGGAGGCCCTGCAGCAGTTTCTTCAGACCCTTTTGGTTTGTATAGAGTTAGTAGTAAAATCTCCCTTTTTCTTTTTTTAAGGATTTGTTTATTTTTATTGTAAAGTGAAATTTACAGAGAGTCTGAGAGGAAATATCTTCCATCAGCTGGTTCACTCCCCAAGTGGCAGCAACGGCTGAAACTGAGTTGAACCAAAGCCAGGAGCCAAAAGTTTCTTCTGTGTCTCCATGTTTGTTCAGGGGCCCAATGATTTCAGCCTGAATTACCAGGCCACAGGAAAAGAGGTGGATGGGAAGCTGAGCAGCTGGAACATAAACCAGCGTCCATAAAGTACCCTGGTGTTTGCAAGGTCAGGACTTTAGCCATTAGTTGTGCCATGTTCTCTTTCCTGTTTGTTAAAGCTTATTTATTTTTTATTAGAAAGCCAGATTGTACAAGAAAAAAAGAGATCTGTATCTTCCCTCACTAAATGGTGCACTGGCCGTAGCTGAGCTGATGTGGAGCCAGGAACCAGAGCTTCCTCCTAGTCTCCCACTCAGGTGCAGGTTTGCAGGCTTTTGGGCTGTTCCTGTCTGCTCTCCCAGGCACAAGCAGGGACTGAGGGGGAGGTGGAGTAGCAGGAACACGAACCAGTGTCCATGTGGGATGAGGAGCTTGGGGGTGGAGGATCAGCCAGTTGAGCCAATGTGCTGGACCAGTAATGTCTCCATTTTCATTTCTGATTCTACTTATCTTACTTATCTGAGCTTTTCTCAAAGCTTTTGCTTTTGGTTTGGTTTTGGTTAGTCTGGTTAAATATTTGTCTATTTTATTTAAAACCAACCTATATTTTTGTTTACTTTCACATTTCCTTCATTTCACTTTCATTTATTCTGGTCTGTCTCCTCCTGCTAATCTGGGATTTGGTTTGTTCTTGTTGCTCTGTGAACAATGACCTTGGTACTTTTATTGGAATCACATTGAATCTGTAAATTGCTTGGGGCACCATGGACATTTGGATCATATTAATTCTTCTCATTCAGAATCTTGGAAGATTTTCCCCATTGTTTGTGTCTCATGTTCTTTCATTGAAGTTGTGTGACTTTCACTGTAGAGATCTTTCACATCCTTGGCTAAACTCACCCCAAGGCATTTCACTTGTTACAGCTGTTGTGAATGGGAAGACCTGGTTCACACGGGGGCTGAAGCACATGTTCTCATGTGTCTGCCTCTCAGAGATGTGAAGTTCAGGTTCCCCAGTTTCTGAGGGAGCAGGAACGTTTCCTATCAGATCTCCCCGGGAAGGATTCTGGGCTCCTGTCTGATCTGCTGCAGCCAAAAGCCTGAGGAAACCAGAGCTGGGATTGAATTATGGCAAATGTCCTCCAAATAAAAACAACTTTTCCCTGTGAATGTCTGTACCCTTTATTTATTGTCGTAAATGTTTATTCTCTTGCTTATTCAGTATTATAAATTCTTTAATAGTTCCCCTATTATTTTTAGTTTTCAGTGGATGAGGCCATCCTAAGGGCACATGAGTGGAGACAAAACTGCCCTCACTTGTTCCTGGGAAGTGAGCCAGTGGAAGGGAGCCTATCGTGGGTCTGTCAGTCTCCATCTGCCAAACAGACGAACATAAACTTTGACAAGAAAGACTCTGCAAGGAAAGCTCCATGGACACCTCTAAGGAAGGGTCGGGAAGAGTCCCTGGACTGGCCATGCAGTCAGCTGCTGGGAACGGCTACAGCCCAGCTCCACGGGGACACAGAGACCCTGACACCAGGATCCTTGTAGACCTTGTACTCATCTGGCTGCCCCTCTGTGACCTTGGTGTACACTGCAACAGGAAGTACAATTTCTGCCTGGGGTCTGGGAGTTTTTACAGAACATGATCCAACCTGGGAGGAACACTGTGGAAAACCTCAACGTTGTAGCCACTGCAGTCAGAAGAGCAGGTGACCAAGGTGGGAGTTGAGGGCAGCTGGCCTGGGAGGTGAGGGCAGTGTCAGGGATGGGCCTGGAACCTGCAGGTTGGACACTAACTGCAGGTGTCCCTGCCAGGATTCAGGGCAGGACTGCTAGTTGGTGTCAGAGAAGCAGACACCTCCTCGGAGAGAGGAAAAGCCCCTTCCTCACTGACCCATAGAAAGAAGAATTCTGAGGGAGAGTCAGGAAGTGAACCTTGTCTCCTCTGGAGCAAACAGAAGCATTTCCATCACATCACAGAGCTGCTAAATGCAGGACACCCAGGCTGTCAGCATGGACTGCAATCCTAGTGCAGGCCCAAGGTCAGGGTCAGGGTCATGGGTGTGAGCTGTGCCCTCTGTGCCCAGCAGCAGGGCTGTGGTTCCCAGCTGGGACCAGCCAGGGTGAGGCCATGAATTCTGCTCCTGGCTGTGCAGCCTCAACTGGGTTCTCTGCATTTCCTCTACCTTCATCACAAAGCCAGGTGCAGGGTGAATTTATAACTCCTGGATTTCACTGTGGGCTTCAAGGCGTGAGAATCTGTGTGGGGCACCATGTGACGCAGCAGGATGCCAGGAGGTTCCGTGTGTTCAGCTGTGGCCTCTTCTTGGACCTTCTCCCTGGGATAACCCCTGGCTGAGTGGACACCTTGTGTCTCCAGTGTCCTGTGTCATCAATGACCACCTGTGTCCTTTATTTCCTCCGTGATGGAAAACCATGGATGTAGGCATGGGCACTGTGTACAGGAGTGGAAATGCAGCTTGGGACACCTGATCCCATCTCAGTGTTCTGGTTCCACTTCTGGCCCAGCGTCTGCCCAGTGCATGCCTTTTGAGGTAGTAGATTATGCACCTGGACTCAGTTCTGGGCTCTAGGCTTTGACTTGTCCTGTCCCCAGCTGTGTGTGCCTTTGGGGAGTGAGCCAGGGGATGGGGGAGCACCCTCCTTTTCACAAATATTAAAACATTTTCGAATAAATAAATATAATTGTCTGATCCCTCCCCCATCTCGAAGTGTTTTCAGTTCACAGGTCCAAGGGTTCCAGTGTGAGTTACAGTGTGGTTGAACGTGGGCGCTCTTAAGAAAGCAGGTGCCTTGATTGATGTTCACTGTAGCTGTGTCCGGATGTGAACACTGGAAACTGAAACACCACAAGCTGAGACTGCAGTGACTGCCCCTCCCCCCTGACATCCCAGCTAAACAGGAAGGTGTCCAGTGAGGGTAGGGTCTCCCTGGAGATCATACAGCTGAACTGGACTTGGGATTCCTTACCCACCCAGCACCTTGATAGAGTCCTGCCCAGCACAGCAGCCCCAACACAGTCAGAGGTGTGGCTCAGAACTGGGTGCCTCTGGTTCCCACATTCTGTGCCTGGGAGATCCTAAGTGAAACCACTCCAAGCTGGGCCCCCTGCACCCAAGTCTCTGCCAGAGTGGCAACTTACTGTGTGGCCCAGGGCCCAGGTGTGTTCAAATGACCATTTGCAGGGGAGGCTGAGGCCCACATGGGAGTCCTGTATTCCCTTTGGCTGCCATAGTGTGCTGGGGGGGAGGGACGGGCAGTGCCGTCATCACCCACCAGAGCCACATGTAGATGCCCTGCCCACTCCAGACTGTCCAGCTTCCTAGTGCCCACGTAATCCCCTCAGCACGTCTCAGGTCCCTGGTTCTTTCTGCAGCTGCTTGCGCTTTAGCCTTGGTTTCCCTCACACACTTAGCCTTGCAGGTCAAAGACTCAGTCTTGTGTCCTTTTTCATCACAGTCACTCAGTCCATGGGTATCCCATCTCTACTCTTGACTGCAAATGTGACACAAGTGGAGTCACCTCCCCAGTGTGTCTACTGCACAGACATTTCCCCTCATCACCTGACTCATGGTCACCGCCAGCCCTGCAGGTCACGTCTCACCAACATCCTGGCTCCCACTGCTCCTGCACTGAATGCCTGGTGGTCCCTCCTGGGATCCACCCTCCCAGGTTGCCCTTCTCCTACGGTGATGCCATCCCCCCATGGCCTGAAGCTCTGGGTGTCCTCCTAGCCTCCTCCTCTTTCCCTGGATGCAGTCCACAGGAAATGCTGTGCATCCATCTGCAGAAGGATCCAGAACCTCATTTCTTCCACCCTGCCCAGGCCCACACCCACCATAGTGACTGGCATCCCTGCCTGGACACTGCAGGAGCCCCTAGAGCTTTGTATCCAGCCTCTCAGCCCTGTCATGATGCCGCAGCCAGAGTGGACCCTGGACAGGAGAAGGTGCACACGTTCTTCTGCTCAGAGCTGTCTTGTGGCTCCCACCTCACTCAGCGCCAGGGCTGAGCCTTCCAGTGTGTGTGAGGTCTGCTGGACGGTGGTGCCCGACCCAGCCTTTCTGACGGCTCCCTGCTCTGTATGCAGACTTGCTCCTACCTGGGGAATTTGTACTGGCCGTCCCCTGCCTGCACAGCACCTGCCCAGACACCTTTGACGGTGACTCACTGTGTCCTCCCAACTTTCCTCAGGGTCATCTCCCTTAGTGCAGTGCACGCTGAACATGGTGGCAAGAGAGCCAGCTGCCCCAGCCCTCACACCCACTCTGGACCAACTTGCCCTGCACTGGGTCTAGCCCACAGCAAGGTGGGGGTGAGTGATGAGCATGTTGCACCTGCCCTTCTAGACCCTGTGGTTCATTAGTGAAGCCTGAGACAGAGGTTGCCTGTGGCCGCTGCAGAGTGGGATCCCCTTCCTCTGGTGTCCAAGAGATCTGTGCTTTCTCACACGTATCATCTGCCCTCCTGCTTCCCTCCCACACTGCCTCCTGCACACACAGGCCTGAAGGCCACCAGAGCTCACACACAGGACGAGCAGGTGCAGTCAACAACACTAAGGAACAAAATGGACATAGGAAGATGGGAGCCCTGGGCTGATCCAAGTGTGTTTTGACTGTTCTGGCCTCCTGCAGCCTCCACTATTTGGGTCCATGAGGCAGGGCAGCCTGGCCACAGCTGAGTCCTGTATTGGCAGGTGTTGATGGGCACGACCTACCAGACAGCCCAGGACACTAAGGCACTGAGCCAAGTTGGCAGTGACCACGACAAAACCTGGTGGGCTGAGCAGTGCATGGACACAACCCTGTTCTCACCCAGGGCATCCCAGTCTCTCTTGTCCTACCTGCAGCTGACTCAACATAGCAACCACATGGCTTCTGGAAGGTTCTTGGCGCTTCAGTTTATTTGCTCTGCAAAATTTTTGGAATTTTTCTGATTTAATTTTCTTAACCCCTTGTGATTGGAATTGGAAAAAGTGAATTGCTGTTCAGATCTGCACAGGAGAGGACAAAACTGTAGCAGGTGCACCTGACTTGAGACAGGGACAGAGGCTCCCACACTGGGCTGGGAGAGCCAGGCTTCCACCTCACACTGTGCCCACAGAAACACAAGGAATCCCAGCTCCTTTGTTTCTCCTCAGACCCACCATCTCTCTGGCTCCATCCCATCCAAGGCTCACCCTTCAAACTGTCAGAGAGCAGTCAGAACCCTGGGCTCTGTTCCCACCTGGGAGAACCAATCAGGACTTGGTGAGAGTCCTTGGGGTATGGCTGAGGGAGGAGCTACTGGGTGGGCAGGGCAGCTTCTCCATGGGCATCTAAGGGTCTTGGGGACGCCCTCACCCTCAAATATACCCCAGTGCTTACCTGCAGCCCTAGTGTAGCTTGCTGCTTCCCCACCTGTGAGAGAAAACATCTAGTGAGAGGCAGGGAGAAGGCAGGGCCTGAGGACTGGCTCATCTCAGAGAAGATTCCAGAACTGTGGCTACAGACCTAGGAAAGGGTCAGGAGGTGCCTCTCCTGGAGGTGTGTCCTCAGCTGGGATCTTCCCCTGACCTGGGGCTGCTGGAACTCAGGTTCCTGTGAGCAGAGTCATCCCTGTGGAGTGTTTGTTCTCCACCTTCACTTGTGCTTCACACCAGAACCAATGTGAGCACCAGGGGCCCAGCTGGGAGTGCAGGTGTGTGTGCATGGTGCTTCCCAGGAATGGGGTGGCAGACCTTCTCTTTTGGAGACAGCAAACTCAGACACAGATACAGCCCTCACCCTGCCCTACCTGAGCACTTCCTCCTAATCATCTTCATCACAGCAGTGACCACAGCTCCAATTAGCACAGCTGCCACGAGGACCAAGCCAGTGATGACTCCCCACATGGGCACAGTGGGCCGAGGAGGCTCTGAGAGGGGAAGGGAAAATAAGGGGCTTTGACACCAGGTCTCAGCCCTGCCCCTGCTGAAGGCTCTGCCCCTCACTTCCCTCCTTACCCCATCTCAGGCTGAGGGGCTCAGGCAGCCCCTCATGCTCCACGTGGCATGTGTATCTCTGCTCCTCTCCAGAAGGCACCAGCACAGCTGCCCACTTCTGGAAGGTTCCATCTCCTGCAGGTCTGGTCTCCACCAACTCCATGTCCTGGGTCAGGTCCTCCCCATCTCGCTGCCAGGTGAGTGTGATGTCCTTGGGGTAGAAGCCCAGGGCCCAGCACCTCAGGGTGGCCTTCTGGTCAGAGACTGGGTGGTGGGTCACATGTGCTGTGGGTGGGTCTGGGGGGAGATTTGGACAATTCATGCCTTTCATGTTTTTCATGTGACACTAAATTTACACTCAGTGACCATCCTGAGAATGGACAGGAGGACAGGGATGTGGGAGAGCATTGCAAGCCCAGACCTGGCCTGGATAAAGACAATGGGATCATCTGTTGTCTGCAAAGATGTAGACAAAGAATCAGGTATGGTTCAGGCTGGGAGAACCCGGGTCTCTTATTGGGTGAAAGGGATTTGGTCTTGTCCTGAGTGGAGGCTGAGAGACTGAGAAACCCTGGGGTGAATCCTCCCAGTGCATTGGCTTGAGGTTGGGGACAGGCCTGGGAGGGGTCACAGCTCACAGGACCCAGCAGGAGTCCAGGCCACCAAGAGGATTCTTTTCAGATTTTTCTATGCCTGCACAATCCAGGTCCTTCTTCCACACTGAGGAACGTGTGGGTATCTGGCTCTGGACCCAAAGTCCAGGAGGACATCCCTGCTGTGGTCATGAGGAGAGGTGGACACAGACCTGGCTCCTTCTTTCCTCCCATCCTGCACAGCCCCAGCCCCAACCCTAGGGGATGTGGGCAAGGGCAGCCCCTACAAGCCTTGCACACCTGAACGCTGTAGTGTCTCCTGCCCCAACTCCAGGAATCTGGTTAGCAACTCTAAGCACTCCCCCTCCAAGTAGGCCCTGAAGTCTTCAGCATCACCATCAGCCTCCCACTTGTGCTTGCTGATCTGAGCCGCCATGTCGGCTGCAGTCCAGGTTTGCAAGTCCTCATTCAGGACAATGTAGTCCTTGTTGTCGTAGGCCCACTGCCAGTACCCGCGGAGGAGGCGTCCATCTGCCCCGACTTCGCAGCCATACACTTTCTGGAGTGTGTGAGAACCTGTCACCAGTCCAAGGTTAGCCTTGGCCACGCAGCTCCGCCCCCGCCCTCACCGACCCGCTGGGATTTCAGCTGAAACCGAAAATGAAACCCGGTTGATCCCCGTCCCCGCGGGCTCCTCCCTCCGAGGGTCTCCGAGGCGCCTGTGGGAGGGGTCGGGTCACTCACCGTCCTCACTTTGGTTGTAGTAGCTGCGCAGGTTGTTCAGGTCCACGCGATTAATCTGTGTCTGCTGTTTACCCCGCTGTGTGTGCCTGTGCAAGTACACCTGCTCCACCTGCTGCATCCACGGCGCCCGTGGTTCTGCCCTCGGGTTCTTGGCGTCGCTGTCGAAGCGCACGAGCTGCGTGTCGTCCACGTAGCCCACAGCCATGAAATGGGGCTCCCCGAGGCCGGGCCGGGACACTCCGGTGATGAAATACATCAGTGAGTGGGAGCCTGGAGGAGAGAGGGGCTGGAGTGGTACCCTGGGGTCCAAGTCCGCTGGGGCAGCAGAGAAGGCAGGGTCCTTGGGGTTGCTAAACAGTAAAGGGTCAGTGAAGAAGGGACTGGGTGAGGCGATGGGGGATAAGTAGAAGTGGGGACGTCTACAGGGGCTGCGGAGAGGCGGCTCCCGGGGTCCTGTGTTCCCTCCGCGCGCTCCCCTCGCTCCTGCCCCGCAGAGCCCGTCTCCCTCCCGACCCGCACTCACGCTCCAGGGTCTCTGTCAGGGACAGGCCCACCGCGAGCAGCAGGAGGGTTCGGGGCAAGGTGGACCCCATCATGGAGAACTAAAGAGACTTTTCCGGGAACTTCCACGCCCACTTTATATCCGGGTGGCGCTGATTGGTTCGATCCGACTTTTGCAGCCTACCTGCCCTGCCCACCGTGTGTGACATCAGGAACCCGGGAGGTGGACTGAGGTTTCTGTTCAGACTGTCCCAGTGGAGCTGAGAGCCAGGGCTGCCCCATCTGAGGCTGGGCTGGGCAGGCAGGGCTGCCCTGTGGCGTCCTCTGGTGGTTGGTGGGTGGAAGAGGCCTCGGGTCCTTTCTTCAGGATTGTGTGTGCCAAGGCAGATGGCTTTTCCAGAGCTGGGGGGGGGTGGGGGGGGGGAGAGAGAAAGCTGCACAGGCTGACACTGAGCCTTCATCCAGCTCTCCCCCGTGGGTGACAGGGATCCAAGCACTTGGGCATCTTCCATTACTTTCTGTGATACAGCAGCAAGCTAGACAAGAAATGGAGCAGTTTGGACTCAAAGCTGTGCCCATAATAGATGGGTGTTGTCAGCTCAGCCTGCTACCCTACAGTGTTGGCCCTGTTTGCTTCTTTAGCGGCCACATAAAAGGGTGAACAGGAGACATCTGTGTTCCTGTCTGACTTCATTTAACATAAATGTCTTTCAGCTCTATCCATTATGTCGCAAATGATATTATTCATTTTGACTAAGACTTCTTTGTTTGAAAGACAGAGTTAGAGAGAGAGAGAGAGAGAGAAGAGGAAGAGAGGAGAAGAGGGAGAGAGGAGAGGAGGGTAAGAGAGACACATTGTTTCATCTTTTGCTCATTTCCCAAATAGCTGCATGGCAGGAGCAGGGCGGGTCTGACGCTAGGGTCTCCCATATGGGTGCAGCAGCCCAAGCACCTGGGTCATCTCCCACTGCCTTCCCAGGTGCATTAGCAGGGAGCTGGATCAAAAGCAGAGGATCCAGGACACGAAGTAGCACCTGAATAGGATACCAGCATCACAGGCAGAGGCTTTACCCACTGCACAAACTGGGCCCTTATCACTCATCTTTTGATAATCATCCATCAAGCTGCATGAATTGATACCTTATTGCTATTCTCCTCTTCCTCAGATTAGTAGGTTATTTTGTCATTTGAATATTAGAAATAAATCTTATAATGTGGATTCTGGATCTGTCACTGGGCATCTCTGAGGTCTGATTTTTTATCTGGGGAACTGTTGCTTTCTTCCACACATCAACTGCATCGAATTAGTGCTGACATCCTTGTTTCTTTTTTTACAACAACGGGAAGAAAAGAAAGAAATTAATACCATGAAGTTAAATAACATGCTACTGAATAACTACTGTGTCGCTGAATAAGCGAATATCAAGAACTTTCTTGAAGAAAATGATTCTACCATGTGATCTATGAAGAGATGCAACTAACCAAAAAAAAAGTCAAAATCCATGAGATGTGATTTCCGCCGATCTCTGTTGGTGGAATGTGTCTCCCTTAGGCAACACGTAGATGGGTTTTGTTTTTTAACCCAGTCTACTAATGTGACATTTGATTGATGAGTTTAATCCATTCACATTCAGGGTTAATACAAATAGGTGGTAATTTGGTTTTATCATATTAGCAATGGGTTGTTCGTTGATTTAGTCTTCTGTTATTTTACTGAGATTTTCTTCGCATTTGCCTTTGGATTTGGTGAGTGCTATTCTTTTTCTCTGTCAAGAGAACATCTTTGAGTATGAGCTGTAGGGCAGGTTTGGAAGAGGCAGATTCTTTAACTTTTTTTTTTTTTGACTGTGGAAGAACTTTATTTCATTTTCAAAGAGAAAGAAAAGTTTTGCTGGGTAAATTATCCTGGGCTGACAATTTCTTGCTTGTAGAATCTAAAATATGTTGCTCCATTCTCTTCTGGCCTGCAGTTTCCTGTGAGAGGTCTCCTGTGAGTTTAATTGGCAATTAGTTGATTTTTTTCACGTGCACATTTAAGGATCTTTTCCTTATGTTCGATTGAAGAGAGCTTGATTATCATGTGTCATGGTAAAGATCACTTTTGGTCAACCCTGTTGGGAGTTCTGTGCCCCTCCTGAATGTTGTTTCCCAATTCTTTCTCTAGATTAGGGAAATTTTCCCTTATTATTTCATTGAATACATCTTTAAACCCAGCTTTTCTTTTTGCACCTTCTGGGACTCCCATAACTTATATATTTGGCTTTTTCATAATGTGTTTCAATTCTTGAATACTTTTTTTAGCCTGACCCAGCTCTGTCTCCAGCTTTTGGTTTGTTTGTTTCCCCCTGATGACAGGAAATACATTCTAATTTTGAGATTCTTTCTTCTGCCTCCTTCATTCTATTTTGGAGACTCTCCACTGTACTTTAAATTTGCTCCACTGTATTCTCCAATTTTGGTATATCAGCTTTCATTTGATTCATTTCCTTTGTGACATATTTCTTAAATTCCTTGAATGCTTGCTTTATGTTTTTGATAAGAAGTTTTATAACAAGTACTTTGAATTCTGTATCCCCCATTTTCTCGATGTCTTCCTCAGTGAACTCTGAGATTGGCAAAGGATTTTGCTCCTTTGCAGGGAAGTCTTCAGTAATATTCATTGTGCCTTTGTCTCTTCTTTTGCTCTTGGTCATTGTACTTCTAGTTAGCAGATTTTTCTCCTTGTGTTGGGTTTCTAAGCTGTGTCACCCACAGGTCTACAGTTCAATTTTACTTATTGCAGTTGGTACACAGCTCTTTGCTTGTAGTCACTTGTGCCACTCCTTCCAGTGAATTCCAGGTCTGGGTTCTTATGTTAGATTTCCACCATGGTCTCCATAGCCCCAGCTCTTGGCTCACCACTCTCTACCTCCTGTGATACCGTGCTGAGGCTGCACCATTGTCTGTGCGGCCTTTCTCCAGCTTCCCATGAGTAGGTCACAGGATTAGGGAGACACCAGGAGTCCTATATAGCTAAGTTGCTGGTGGTGATAATCTTCCTGGAATCTATTGGCCATTAGGTTTGAGGGCTACATGGACCTATTTTGACCTATATGATGCCAAAGTCAGAATTAGTTTGCACGTGGGACTAGAGCAATGCACTGAACTCAGTGAGTTCTCACTGAGCTCAGTGTACCCGCAGCTCACTGTTGTCCCTGCATTCTTTCCCACACCATACAAAATGGTGCTTGATGTGCCACTACTAGAGGTGTTGGTCTGTTGGCCATTAGGTCTGAAGGCTACCCGCACGTATCTTGGGTGGAACCTGTAGGATGTCATGTTGTTGCAGTTCACAGAGCTAGAAATGAGTTCACTCTAAGCTCAGTGTACATTCAGTCCTTTCTCTAGCCTTTGCCTCCTTAAACAGAATGGTGACATATTTGGCTCTAGGGGGTGGACTAGGCTGTGAAATTCACCCTGTTCCCGCACTGCCTGTCTGGAACCTGCCATTCCGTGTCTGTTCCTGCTCAAATCAAACAGACCAGCAGGATGAGCAGTTCTTTGTCTGGGTTCACCTCCTGAGTTCCTGGTGAATGTCCCTTCCCACTTCACTGCTGGCGGAGTTCTGACTGTTGCTGCAATTCAGATCGCCGCTCACTGGATATTGCTGGGGTACTGGTCACTGCAACCCCACACCATTGTGTCTGCTGCTTTCCTTTGTCTGTCAGTCTCCAGGTATCCCTCTGCTGTTGTTCTGTCTTCTCCTATTTCCTGGAATGTGCCCTCTCTGCTTCACACTGGGTAATACTTCTCCATCCATTTAAATGTGTCCTTACTCTATTCCTGTGTGTTGATTCTCACAGACGTTGTTATTTCTAAAAGTAGTGGTCTGTGTAGCTAAAGCAGTGGTTTTAACAAGTTCAATGTTGTGATTTTTCTCCCATGATCTTTTATTGGGTGTTAGATCTGTTATAGTATGAAAGGATTCAGTGATGATGGAATTCCTCACAGAGGGTTGGTGGGCCTGGAAGGCCTGGGTCAGGAATACGGGGTGTGCCATCCACATTGGCCTCTCCAGTGGTACTCGTGTTGCCATTCATGTATGGGTTCCTTGTATGAAAGGCACTGGCTGAAAAGCATGTAGTCTTCAGCATCATGTTCATGCTGGCGATGTTTGTCCTCTTTACGTTGATGTACTTGGTCACAGCCTTTTATGAAATGCTCCACTGATGCCTCAGTGTCCAGCTCGGCAGCTCTGTGAGTTTGACATCCATAAGTTTCTTCTCCTTCAGTGGCATGACTGATGCCATCTTGGAGTCCTGGTGTTCCCTCAGTGTCATTTCTTTGAAGTATTGTATGTTAAAATTTTATTATGAAAACCAGGGATACATATTATATACATATACATACAAATATATTACACACACGTGCGTGCGCGCGCACACACACACACACACACACACACACACACACGGAGAGAAGAAAGAGACCTTCTATCTCCTGGTTACTGCTCCTCATGCCTTCAGCAGCTGGACCATGGCTAGGCCAAAGTCAGGAGCCATGAACTTGATTCAGGTCTTCCTGTGGGAGACACAGACACCAGGCTTGAGTCATCACCTGCCACCCCCAGGGTATTGTGGGCTAAGGAGCGAATTAGCGCTCATTAAGCTGAGCAGTAACAGGAACTGGGCTTGTGGTTACAGCAGAAGCACAGGCTGAAAACACTTAGATTAATTGGACTCAGCTGTATCCAATTGCTTGGCTAAAGGACTTGGAGAGGGTGGTGAAGCGTATATAAGTAGAGGTGAAAGTAATAAAGGAGATCCTGGTGATTGCAAGGCAAGGATTTAGTCACTAGGCTATCATACCATGCCCTTATTTTTTTTTCTCTTTCTTATCCTAAACTAATTTAGTTTGTTTTATTATTGCAAAGTGAAATGGAAGGAGAGATAGGAAAAAAAGGAGAGACAGAGACAGACAAAAGTAGACAAATAAAGACACATCTTCCATCTGCTGGTTTATTCCCCAAATGCAGTGTCCACAGCCAGACCAGATAAAGCCAGGAGCCCAAATTTCAATTTTGTTCTCACCTGTGGGTGGCCCAGTGATTGAACCCAGTGCTGCTTCTAGCGGTGTGCACCTGCAGGAAGTTGGGCTGAGTGCTGAGTACTGCAACGTGGGATGCAGCTTTA